AACTGTGCAATACCTTCAAAAACGGGATGACAAAAGGTCGCAGTGGGAAGTTAGTAGCTTCTTGGAGTTTGGAATGAAATTCTTCAATTGTCAAAGTAGAATTCTGTGGAGAAAATATGTATTATACATTCAGTTTTCTCTGGATAAATAGTAAACATTCCGAAACTTAATAAATTACTAATATTAATACAACACAGTGTAACAACAAGCAGACACATGTATGGGGACCAGCATTTTCATTAGAAAGATTTTGTAAAACAAGATCACATAATACAGTTTACTGCTACCCTACTTCTAAAATTAGCATATGAAAGTAAAACACATTAAATATGGTACTTGGAGAATAATGCATACGGACATTAGCAGAGTTTGTTAAAGGAGTTCCTGCAACATGGAGTGGTACCTTTATGAAAAATAAACGATTTGGATATATTTTAAAAGTAAACGGGTAACTTGGAAGGTCAAAGGCAAGTGTCAGAGGCTCATCCCACATGCAGGGCCTCTGGTGGAAACCTTACAGTCCTCCTCTGCCTCCTGTTTTCACCTTGCATTCTTTGTCTGCACAGGCTTCTCTGCTTGGGGAAACAGCCCAGCTGGGGAGTGTGCTATGCTAATGAAGCCAAAGAAAAGCCCAAGTCCTTTCTGAGTCACTGAGTTCTGGAAAAAAAATTCCTAGTTCTCAAAGACGTTTCATTTATCCCCAGAGACAAAGTGTATTTCTCTGCACAAGAGTCTGAAGAAAACGACCTAAATTCCCTCCGAATCTATCCCATATAAACAAACAAGCTCCAAATACTCAGCATTTGTGTCCTACCATGGCCAAAGTGTGTTGATAAAAGCACCTACTCTAGTTACCTAATGTTACAGGCACTGAATAACTTTGATCCATTTTTTCTTAGTCCCTAGCAGAACCACAACTGTAACTTTAGTGTCTATGGCTTTAGCCTCTTCACTAATTCTGGCAGCTGACAAAATCCAGGTTTTCATGACTGAACATCATTAAAACGCTGGTCACTCATGTATAGTTTCATTTCCCATGACAAACCCATGACAAAGAAGGAGAAATTTTTAGCTTTTTTATACCCCTAAACTCAAAACATCCCAGAATTATGAATAAGCGCCAACTTCCCATCATCAACAATACAGGTCAGACAGCCAATTCGTTTTATCTACATTTTGTTCTGATGATTCGTTTTATAAAGGATAGTACTTCCTAACATTTTTCTTTTCTCTTCAGTTTTTTTTTTTTTTTTTAAAGACAGGGCCTTGCTATGAAGTTCAAGTTGGCCTTGAGCTCACTATGCAGGTCAGACTGGACTCAAACTTGCAGTGATCCTCTTGCATCAGCCTCTTCAGTGTGGGGATTAGAAGTGTGCACCCCCATGCCTAGCTCTAGCGTTATTCTTAATGGCACCTAAAAAGTACCATAAAATGCTTTAATAGGACTTCATAACTAAATCACAATCAGATAAACAGTTCATTTTACTTAACATCTATATACCTCAGTTTGCCCACACTAAAATCATATAAAAATCATGTCTTCGAGGGTAAGATTTAAAATCTTAAAATATAAAATGGCCTGTAGTCAAATGCTTAAAACAAAAGCCTATTCTCTCTCCACCTATTTGACAAATGTTTGCTGTCTGTTATATACAAGGCACCATTAATGACTTTCACTAGCTTTTATAAAGTCTGAATGTAAACATTTTTTAAAAACATATCCATCAGGTAGAGCATTGTGGCGTAAGCCTTTAATTTGGAGGATCAAGAGTAGGAGGCCAGCCTAGCTACAGAGCCAATTCAACACCACCCTGGACTCTACAGCAAAGTTTGTCTCAAAACAAAACTAGAAAAAAAAACCTTCTTTTAAAAATATAACGCTCACTATGTAGTAAACTCCACTGAAGTCTTCCTACATTTTGAGCTATGGAACCACTTTTAACAAAGAATACTAAATTTGTAAGTTTTTTATGAATAACATTCACCACTTGATACCATCATTGTTTTCGATTTACTCTGTGGTTTTCTGGTCTATCATATTTACATGTTTAAAGTCTGTCACATGAAACTCAGAAAAAGAATGGAAAGGGAAAGGTAAACGCGTGCCAGCAAGCCTAAGGTACACCGAGGCACTCGGTCAGAAGGACTCTGTGCTCTGAAGGGCACAAAGCAGGGCTGAAGGCCAGGGGGAGATGGCAGAGCCGAGGAAGCACTTAATGGCTAAAATTTAACTTGCAAAATCTTTATGTCAAATACAGTATGTACTGATTTTAAGCATGTCTCCTAGTACTGCTTTGCCTATGATAGGGCCACATAATAAAAATAAACAACGCATTTCATAAAAGGAAACTGCTGCCTATTACTCCAAGTTCAACTCCAGCCTAAGCATGGATGAATGAGAGATACTCAGTGACTCAGATTCCATGGGAAAGCGGTCTTCCTAAACGCAAGAGAATCCTCCACTTGTATAGAAAATGACCACAAATCTAAGATATTTAGGAAGCAAAAAATGATTTATGTTCTCATTTGCCATGTTATGTTGTATAAAATGTAGTATAATGTGCCAAAATAACAATTCTGGGGACCGGGGGTTTAAATCAGCAGCATCAGTGCCTGCTTGGCAAACATGAGGTCATGAGTTCAAGCCCAAGTACCAAAAAAAACCAAAACAAAACAAAACAAAATTCTGTTCTCAATTAACTACAGTTAAGCCAGGTTTGGTGGTGCATGCCTATAATCCCAGAATTTAGGAGGCTGAAGCAGGAGGATTGCTGAGAGTTCAAGGCCAGCCTAGGTTAAGTAGCGAGTTCAAGGCCAGAATAAACAGCCTCAAAAAAAAAACTAGTTACCAAGGCTGAAGAGAAATGAGGATTTATCATTTTATGGGTTTATCTAAATCAATAAAAACTCTTCAAAACAACTATGTTAAAATGAACACCCAGTTAGATATGCGTCATGTCAAGAGGGTATACATATCAAAATATACATATATAGACATATGTGTATATATAAACACATGCATGTCTGTACAAATGTATACCTACACATATGTTTACATATAAATACACACATGTTTATACACATACATACATACATACTTATGGCTAAGATAAAAATTTGTATGTACAAAACACACTTTTTGTACGGGCGCTGGAATCCATGTCGTCACATCGAGCTATGCCCCCATCCCTTTTTATTTTGAGACTATGCCCCTATCCTTTTTTTTTTTTTTTTTTTTTTAAGACAAGGTCTCAGGAGCTCAGCTGCCCAGATGGATTTGAACTTGCATCCTTCTGCCTCCACCTCTCAGAGTGCTAAGATGACAGACACGCATCACCATACCTAGCTCTATGGTGTTTCTTTGTTAGTCACATAGTGAAAGAAACCATGGTGGAGGTCAATACATAATATAAACGAGCCATGTGCTCTAGTTTTTGCTCTATAAAAGTCTCTAGAGAAGGCAGGGTCTTTGGCAGCCCACTCAGGACCTCTCCTGTCTCCATCTCAGACAGAAGTTTTTTTTTTCTCTCAATAAATACATTCTATTTTAAAGAGAGAGAGAGAGAGAGAGAAAGAGAAAGAGAGAACCAGTCAGATGTAGTGGCACTCAGTAGGTTCAGGCAAGAGGACTGTTGCAAGTTCAAGACCAGCCTGGGCTACAAAGTTGAGTTTGAGGCGAGTCCAGAATGGTATAGTGAGACTTTGCCTCAAAAAAACCAAAAACAAAACAAAACAAACAAACAAACAAAAAAGAATTGGAAAATTTGTTATTGTAGACTTAGACTTGTATATCATCTCCAGATGTAGGAACTATTACAACATTACTGTGAGAAGCTGGGAATGGTGGCACATGCCTATAATCCCAGCACTCGGTAGGCTGAGGCAGGAATATTGCAGTAAGTTCAAGATGAGCCTGGACTTCATAGAAAGACCATGAAAGACCATGTCTCAAAAAAAAAAAACAAAAAAACAAACTTGCTATAAGCATGAGGTCCACATTTCCAAATGTCCTACACAGGCTGCTCCTTACCCTCTTGCTCTGGGCTGGTCCCTGGTACTTACCACCAGTCCTAGTACAAGGGTGCGGACTCTTTCTCCGATCTCTGGTGAAATGTCATTGCCAAACTGCTGCAGGGTGGTAAGGAACCGTTTGAGCTTGCTGAGTTGCCTGGCACCACAGGCTGGGGGCAGCTGTTGATTAGCCAGAGAAGAAGAGGAAGAGGAGGAAGGCCCATTGCTAAAGCCATTGGGTGGCGAGGGGGCACCATTCAAGGCTGTAGGTGAATGGCTGGTGCCATTAGTTACTGTCAGGGCACAAAATCAAAGGAAAACATAAATTTACAGTGAACATGCCACAACATTTCCTTCCCTTGAAATCTAGAACTGTACTTTCAAGAAAGTTGGAATATTTTGTAAAATGCACGGACTTCATAGGCTCACCACATCTCTCCTATCAAACTTGGGTGCACTCCACACACAGGAATGTTACCAGCGTTTGCACAGAAGCTGGTAACAAACCCAGCCTGCGGTAACAAGGGCCAGCCCTGCCTCCACGAGCACATATGCTAACCACCTGAAATGCTTCAAACACTGAACAAACAGCTTTGGATGTCAGCCTTTTGTCACAGGCCTCCATCAGTATAACAGGGCTATTCCTTCCTAAACTGCTCCCCTAGAGAAAGTGTACATTTGGTGGAGACTAAATTTATCACTGAACATTTTTAATCATGTTTTGTACACACAACTGACAGCTGTGTTTATAGAAGTAGGGCTTTCAAGTTTTCACCTTATACCACCCAATTAGAAGGCTATTTTCTCCCTCATACTTCTTAACCACTTACTTTGCGAACATGAAAATTTTACATATGAAGCCAAAATGGACTTCACTGAGGAGTCATTGCAAGAAAATGAAAGGAGATGCCCTTAACCAACCAACAGCACACAATAGTAACTCAGTAAATTAATTCATTTCCAATAAAATGTAGTTGCACACCAGATAATCCATTAGAATGAGGTTAGAAAAATTTGCACATTTTTCACTAAAGAAAATGATTTCATCCTGTTGAGTCAACTAATTTGACAAAAATGAGTTTTATCAAACTCGTCTAACACAATTTTGATTAACTATCTCCAGTAATAGTTTGAAGACATTTTAAGGATGATGTTAAGTTGTTGAAAATTTTTCATGATCATAAGTGGTTCTTAACCCATATAAGTACTAAAGTTACCTATTAAGAAATGTAGCTCACCAGACCATCTCACAGAAGACACATGCCTAACACCATGACTTTGGGAAACAATAAACCAAACACTTGATGACAGGGTTACAGCTTAGCATGTCACAGTCCTCTTCTCCTTGCACATTTGGAAAGGTCTTTTAAATGGCAAGACGAACACCCTAACATGTATATTTTGCTGACCCCTTATGAGTCTGTGGATCTATTTTAGCCTCTAATGTTTCACTCACATAGACTTCATGGCACATGGTCTGTAAATGTATTATCTGCAACAGATAACATTTTTTAGCTTCACAAATCCTTGATGACAATTTTAACCGAATTTTGAGATTTATTAAAATAAAACTATCCTCAATGCCTACTGGAAAGAGAGAAAAAAGCAAGAGAAATTGCTCTTCTGTTGGAAAATTCTGTCCATTAGTTGGGTGGCACAGAAAGCAGTATACTCCACGGACTCAGAACACAGGACTTGAGCCAAAAGGAAATGTGCTAAAGATTTAATGAAAGCTTGACCAGGTTGAAACAAAGATGATGCTACTGATTTCAGAGGCCTTTCTCTATGGAAGCATTGCATAATCTATGCCCTTTTTAACTTTATAAAGCCTAATTTTTAATGTTGCATACAACAGATTGAAACAGAAAAAAGCAGTTATTAGGAGATTGGAAGTAACCTAGAAATAAATATGGCATATTTTCATGTTCTGAGGTAAACTGACAAGATTAAGGAGCTCCACAGAGAGTAAATATTACAGGAGTAACAACTAGAGTTTCAAACCAAATGCATTTTCTCTTCATTTGCTAAAATCACAGCACATTACAACTCTAAAGTAATAAAAGGCAGGCAAATGTTGGCAGTCTTGCCTGCTAACTGGGAAATGATTATTTTTTTGTTTCTTTTACATGGATACTAAACTTTACTTTCCTTTGACATTTTACATGCAGAACAAAACTAATTTAAACTTCAAAGCCAGCATGAAACCCTTGACCACTTACATGTCGTTGGTGTAAATGAGCTGGTTCTTGGGGCTCCTTGGGTGGTGGGAGGAGGTGGCATGGTGGGAGGAGTCAGCCTAGACTGCGTCTTCACATCCACAGGTGAGTCTGGCATTGTGGAGTGCTTCTCAGTACGATCTGGAGGATGCCACGAGGAACAGGTTATTTTACTCCTTAAGCACCTTAGTTTTCAAGTGGGGTTTATGTTTTTTAAAAAGCAAGTAAACAGAAGAAATTCAACATCTCCTATCAATAAAATATGCTTATCTATGGAAGTTTAAATCAGGATTTTATCATCCAAACCCCACTTAAGAAGGTGTAGCACAGATGGCAGGACCTCATTTGTAACTGGGTTATATTATATCCTATTGTTATTTCTGGCTTGGGCAGATGCTACCTTAGTAGTGTTATATGCACCAGCACAACTTTAGTCAGAGCTGAAGCCAACATTAGCAAGACTAGAGAACAGATGAAGAAAAAAAGATGATAATGAACTCCTCTTGACAGCTCAGGAATAACAAAAATCCTGAAGTCTGTTATGCAGGTGAGGCACTGGCAGGAGCCAGCTCTTGGCGGTGAATTTCTCTAACACCTGCCATCCATCCGCTTTCCCTGCTTAGAGTTCTGGTCTATTAGATGAAACAGCTTATATCTCCCAGACATATCTCTTCCTTCAGTTCTATCTGCTCTGTTTTAAAATCACCACTACATAAATGCTTTCTGTTTCACAATGAAGCTATTATTTACTGAGAATGCAAAAATTTATGACCTGTCATTTTAAAAAATGAGGCCAATACACCAATTAATAATCTCAGACACAGAATGTTAAAAGTCACAAACAGAACAAAAACTAAAGACAATTGCTATTACTTTGTAAAGTACAAGACAAATAAAAATTTCTTGATTAGCCAATAATGAATATGTATATTTCAGAACTGTTTTCTCCTAAGCATACTTTTCTCTTAAAAACATTGCAAACTATTTTTCTTAATCTATGTATCAAAGCAATAAATCTTTAGTAAAATGAATTCTTTGTTAAGACACTCTACAAGCCATGAACACACACCCTCAAATGTTTTCAGGTGTTTCTGCAGCTGAAGATACATTTAGAAAAGCAAAATAAACTATAAAGAATATACTTTTTAGAAATATTGTGACAATTATGAGAAATTCTCAGAATTACTTAAAAGGCAATTATTAAAAGAAAACGAAAAGACCAAATTACTACTATTGCAAACCTAGCTCAACTTTGTTCCAAGCAGTTTCATTAGACTTGGGTTATAATAAAATATAACATTTAAAAAGATGAAATAATGTTGAAAAGATCATTATTCCAATAAGTGCCTTTTTCACGATGATCTAGTAACAGTATATATAGGGATCTCTATTTCCTCATCCCCACTACTGGTTGAATCACAATGAATGAGTCCAAAGTCATTAAAAGTGTTCTGAATGGAATGATGGTAGAAAGCTTCTCTACTTTTATTGTTAAAAACTTTACTTCATATTGCTATTCAAGCATACTGCAACCAGTATCAGTAAGTCCCTTATTCCAGAAAAACACAGAAGTTAGGTAGGCTTAAAACTGCCTCTTCAGGAAATTCATTGTGCATTCTACTCACCTCAACCAACCTCAGCAACAAGGGAATAAATAGCTTTCCGCTTATGTTGCAGCTGAGGGAAGAGGTACAGCAGCAAATACAAGTCTCCCTAAATAAAGGCAAATATTTCTGTCATGCCAAGAAAGGAGGGAGAGAGGGAGGCTTGCCAGAGTCGGCTGGGAGATAACAGTGGGAACGGCTGGTCCATCTGGCTTTCATTCTGCTAACACTCACATGGAACTGTGCGCGAAGGCAGTCCAGATACACAGACTCGGAGCATGTGGTTGCACAGACAGAGAAAGGAAGAGCAGAGGGGGCAGGGCAAGCACGAGTAATGAACAAATGCAGCAAGCAAGACAGGAAAAGAAAACGGGCCGAGGGGAGCCCTAAGGGACGGCTTACTCTCACCAGCTTGGTTCGCCCCAGAGCTAAAGCAAACCTGAAAGTGAACACTACCTACCCCCAATCTGCACACCTCCACTTTCAAACAGACCTCAAGCCCACTTTCAAACAGCCCACACTAAGAAAAAAGCCAATGCAAAAAGGTTGGCAATGGGTTGCTTCTTCAAATTTAAGAATCAAGTTTATATTTATACAACCTGTGTTCCACTTCTGTCTCAGCTTTAGAAAAGACCTGTGGTACAACTGTAATTTTTATTTGAAAATGTTTTGAACATAGTCTTGGCCCATATTTATGACCCAGAGTATCATCAACACCATCAATATAGGTGGTATTTTCTTAATTTTTAAAATGTCATCAGTATTTTATGAATAACCACCAACAGACCAATGCACAGGACACCAACCATTGCTTCAGACAGGAATATGGACATTCTAATCAGAATATATGTGTATGTAGATATATTTAGAATTTTGACATCAGCCAAATTTCTGCGACGGTTGGCTTCACACTGATCAAATGGGGTTCCAACCCAGAGGTCCTATAAACTGAGACAAAGTGGGACCATATGTAACTCATTCTGTGCTGTTCAGTGCAATCAATCCAGGATGGAGATAGATGGTGAAATCACAGGCCAGTCGCAATCCCTACACACACAAAAACCCTCTGGAGCAGAGAGATTTAAGATAAATTCAGAAAACATGTCTCAAGTATGCTGAGCTCTGTTGCATTTGTTTTGGATTACTTCAAAAAAAATTTTTTTGAAATACATATTCTTGAAACTTTTATAGCAAACAGCACAAGAGCTATGATTTAACACAGAAGCATTTCACTCCATTTCAAATTAGAGGATATGGAAAAACCAATATTAAGTTATTCTACATCTTATGTAATTTTTTAAGTTCATGAAAATTATACTTTCCTGGTACATAATTTCTAGTTTTCACTGCTGGAAGAGGATTCTGACATCGTGAAAGACAGACATAAAATGATTTTTTTAAATAGAAGAGAGATGAGGGGAAGAAAAGAGAGAAACAGAAAGAAGGGAGAAAAAGAGAAAAACAACTTGATAAGAAGGGATGGAAATGAGTAGACTTTGCTTCCACCACGATTCATACTGCTCCTAAACAAGATGATCTTGCTGTGCTCTAACATTTCCCTCACTTGGCAAATATCCAACACATATGCAGCAAATATGACTGCAGCATGGAAGAAAATGTGGCCTATATAAACATACGTATTTCCAATATCCAATTCATTGTCAGGCCTTCTAGAAGTGGTATGTTTTCCATTTCCCTTTTTTTTTTAAGTAAAAAGAAAAGGTATGGCATAATCTGCCGTGGCACTTATTTTACTTTAAGTTAGTTCAAACAGTTCCAGCTGTATTTTTTTAAGGTATGAAAAATAGGTATTCTTCAAACAGTTTCCTTGTTTGCATGCCATTCTAGGCATGACTAGTGTAACAAAAAAGTTCAGTTTTGGCAGGTGGTACATCTCTGTTAGTACTTCATGTCAATTAAAATAGTCTCAGGTTTACATTATGAGTAATTTCCTGGGCAATTAGTAATTAGTCCAGAGATAGTGCACCTAAAGAAGTGTTAATTAAAGAAGTTAAAAGACACTCACTAAAGAGTATTAAGCCAAAGTAGAAGACAGATACAACTAAAAGAGAATTAGGAAAGGAGAAGAAAGAAACCGGGTTAGAATCTTAATTTACACCGGATTTGACTGCAAAAACAAAGTTCTGACAACAAAGTCATTTAGTGACCCCGGAGTCTGGGAAGAACTGTTACAGGTGACCATCCACACGCTAGCACAATGGGGATAGCTGCTTTGCCTTCCACCCAACGTCCACCTGATCAGCACTTCCGGTAATGTCCACTCCTGCTCAGAGTCTTTCAAGAATGTCTGAGAAGGGATGTCAAATGCTATTATTTCAAATGTGTTGAAACAATGCAGCAGAAAGAGACTTGGCAAAGTAATGAAACTTCCAAGACAAGACAGACTTGGCATCAAATTGTGGCTCTTTTAACCATTAACAGGAAGTCCTACCAGAAGTTAATTGTCCTGAGCCTCAGTCCGTCATAAGAAAAATGGGAAGCCAGGGATGTGGACATGCACTTGTAATACCACCTACTTAGGAGGACAGGACAGTGAGATCTTAAGTTCTAAGCCAGCCTGGGCAACTCAGTGATCCCACCCCACCCCCATCTCCAAATAAAATTTACAGAAAGAGAAGAGGGAGGAGTAAGAGGAAGGAAGGAAGGAAGGAAGGAAGGAAGGAAGGAAGGAAGGAAGGAAGGGGGAAAAAGAGGGAAGGAGTGAGGAGATAAAGGAGAGAAGGGGAGGTGAGAGGAGAGAGAGAGAAAGTAGATAGGGATACAGTCCTCTGTGCTCCGTGGAGCCAAAATTAAATAAGGATCTTAAAACCCTGTTATGGCCAGGTGTGGTGGTACACACCTATAATCCCAGATCCCAGCAAGAGGGAGGCTAAAGCAGGTCAGCCTGACCTACATAGCAAGACTGTCTCAAAACAAAGAAGAAACCCATCACAGTGTTAACTCGTATCAGACACCCATAACGAAAAGTTTCATTTTCTTGCGCTTCAAAACTACATCAATAGGGCTGCTGATATAGCTCAGTGTCATAAGCCTGCCTGGCAAACGTGAGGTCCTGAGTTCAATTCCTGCTACCAAAAAATAAAAATAAAAATAAAAATAAAATAAAACTGTATCATTACAGGACATCTTGGTATTCTCTAGCTTTTTAAAAAACTTTTTTCCTAGTATTTTTTTCAATTTTCCATTAGGAGGGTACTGAATACACACATATGATCATGGTTCTCACAGGCAGGTTGGTTACATTCCTAACTTTTCCAAATCTATTCCCTATAATTTAGCCAGTTCAAAAGTAACCAATTGTGCTAGGCATGGTGATGCACACCTGTAATCCCAGCACTTGGGAGGTTGAGGCAGGAGGATCCCTATGAGTGTGAGGCCAGCTGGGTTACATGAAAAGTTCAAGGCCAACCTATACTGCACAGTGGGACCCTACTTCCCAAAAAAAAAATTTCAATGAGTAGTGTGACTCTCATATGCTATGCCAGCATCGTAGAAGACTGGGGCAAGAAGAGCTCA